CCAGCCTGGATGAATCACAAGTCAGAATTAAAATTGCCGGGAAAAACATCAACAACTTCAGATATGCCGATTATACCGCTTTCATGGCAGAAAGTGAAGAGGACCTAAAGAGCCTCTTGCTAAGAGTGAAAGAGGAGAGCGCAGAAGTTGGCTTGAAACTCAACATCAAAAAACTAAGATCATGGCATCCGGACCCATCACTCCTTGGGGAAGTCATGGAAGCAATGACAGAATTCACGTTCCTGGGATCCAAGAGCATGGCAGATGGTGACTGCAGCCATGAAATTAAAAGATGCCTGCTTCTTGGGAGGAAAGCTATGGCAAACTTAGCATAATAAAAAGTAGAGACGTCAACCTGCCAACAAAAGTCCGCATGGTCAAAGCAATGGTATTCCCAGTAGTAATGTATGGCTGTGAGATTTGGACCATAAGGAAGGCCAAGAACCGAAGAATAGATGTGTTTGAATTATGGTGCTGGAGAAGACTCTCGAAAGTCCCCTGGACTGCAAGGAGATCAAATCAGTCAATCCTAAAGGAAATCAACACTAACTGTTCCCTGGAAGGCCAGATACTGAAGCTGAAGCACAAATACTTTGACCACCAAATGAGAAGGGAGCACTCCCTGAAAAAGACCCTGATGCTGAGAATGATTGAAGGTAAAAGAAGAAGGGGACGGCAAAGGATGAGATGGTTAGACAGTGTTATCGATGCAACCGACATGAAATTGAGCAAACTCTGGATGATGGCAGAAGACAGGAGGGCCTGGCGTGATGTGGTCCATGGGATCACGAAGAGTCGGACTCGACTGTGTGACTGAACAACAACAAAGGTAACCCCCAAGCAACATGCCTCAGTTAAGTGTAGTGCAGGGGGAGAAGAAAGTCAAGACAGATTAAAAAAGATTGGCAAGGAGGAAAAAAGAGAAGGAGCAGCCCTTAGCAAGTGCTGGCCTGGGACCCACTTTCAGAGGCTTCACAGTTCACTTTTGGGTCCTGACCCACAGGTAGGGAAACCCTGATCTATTGCACTATGATAGTGTTCTCCACTAAAACCCAAAGTCTTCTAAATGGCTCCATTTGTAAAGGAATCCAGAACTGTCTATTTCTACTTCTACATTACAATTTCTCCAACTGTTTAGACGTCTCTCACAGCCCAATCCTATGCACGTATCATCAGAAGTTGTTCCATTCAATAGGATTTACTCGCAAGTATGCATGCACAAGATTGCAGCCCAAGTGTACTTTTCACTTCTTTCACACTAGGCACTTATACAGCACTGTCTTACATATAGCAATTCCTCTGCTGCACAGGAAAAGAAGGATGCAGAACTCTGTACTTTTCTTCACTCCCATCCTTCGGTTCTTAGCAAATGTATCCACATAACACAAACTGAAAGTACACTAAAGGAGTGTTCTTAAAATGTGTGTGTGTGTGGCTTATGATACCTCACAAGATTCAGTCAAGTCAGGATAAAGTATTTTACGTTTCCAATGCATTTTATGTCTGTACCAGTATATTTTGAGTTCAGGGATGATAACAGGCTTTTTCATTTTGGAGATGATTCCTGCATCTCAGATGTCTGTATAGCTGCTCCTTCTTAAAGCCTGTTCACATGTCACTTCCCCAGTAATGGTGATCAGGATCAAGCCCTGCATTTGTGACTGACTGCCTGTACACACCTTTCCAGATCCTCCCCAACTTTCTCCACTGCATAGAAATTAATATCCAAAGAGAGATGACCCCACTATTATCTGTATGCTGAATCTTACTTGAAGTTTTTATCTTACAGTGTCAAACTATTTAAATAACTATGGGGTTCTTGTGTAAGGTGTGCAAGACAAGTTAAATACAGTTCTAACAACCCATCATCTCAGGGGTAAATGGGAAAAGTCATATGCCACTGTTATTTTCCTAGTCCTATTCTCTGCTGTGTTCCAAAAGAACCCACATCTTTGGTACTTTATTCTTCCTCACTCTAAAGTTTCCAACAGCTTGTGTGATTACATTTATTTGCATAGCTAGTCCTACAACTTTTACAAGAAAAATTCCCAATGTTCTTTCAGATGTCTGATTAATTCCTGCACAACATCTCAAAATGAAAACAATGATGAAAGTTTCTTATCCTTCAGCCTTACTCTGTCCCTCTTTCTGCTGCATTACACATCACAGACATTCAGCCTTGGAACCTGTTGTTTTTCTTTTTTGCTATTATCGCTAATGTCTATCATGTCCTCTCCATATTTCTGTACTGGCCACTGTCAGAGATATGATGGACTAAAAAATGCACCCATGTCCCCTTACAACTTTTTATGAGTTTTGTCCAACAGAAAAATTGGAAACTGAAGATCACTAAAATACTCCAGTATGTTATTTTGAATGAGTGAAATGTTTTTTAAGGCAAGATTTTACTCAAACTGAAGATTTTATGACTCTGTATTAGAACAGTTCCTGCATATACTTTAGACATATACAATATATTTTCATGGATCTGTTTTTGTACACGATATGCTGTAATCCATATAATATACTATTGAAGAGTTCAGTGTCTTTAAAGTTAAACATGTATCTAAATATACTATAGCAATCCCAGTACGACTGGCTGTCCAAATATCCTACTTTTTTTTCTCAATACTAAATGTGCTTTTTAATCTCCGAGTTCTTTTTCCGACATCTCTCTGTCTCTAATATTGTTTATATTCACAATTTTTCTTGTAGAAAATGAAGACATTAAAATTTTCAAATGGCATACATATGTCAAATTTTACCAATTTAAATGCTTAAATTATCCACCAAGCATTTTATGTTATCAAAGCAATAAAATAAATGTAGGTTGATAAAAAGTATTATATTCTACCAAAATTGTATTTTGTGTATCTTAAATCCACAGCTGATCAATTTCAATGATTGTTTCCAAGTTCCTTTATATGGGACACCTAGAAAGGTGTGCTATCACCCTTAAATATTTTTCCAGTCCTGTGCTGACAATGCACAAGTGAAGTCACCCTTCATATCATACTAATGTGGATCTCATCCTTCTCTGGAAGTCATCCAATCTCACATTTAGGTGAGCAACATTCCAGAGGGTCATTTGTGCTATACCAATTTTTTATTCTTCTCCACAACTGGCCCTGCTATCACATCTTAAATGTTCAGGTTTAATTGAGGAAATGTAAACAAACTTTTAATTGTGTAACATCTTCAGTGAGTAAATTCAAGAACTGGATGGATTCTTTCAACTGCAACTAGTATGCCTGTCTTTCATACCAATGCTGAATGGCTCTCTCCCAATCAGTGGACATCCTAGGTCTTTCACGCTATCCAAAACTGCTTCTCGAACACCTCAATCTGGCAAACACATTTCTTCTTCAAGACTGGAATGCCCTGTATCCTCACTTTACCACCAAGTTATACATTTGCTGATAGCTGCAATAATAACTGCAACAGAGGCAGGCAATCCTTAAGATACATTCTAAACAGCATCATGTTAGACCATTTTAGTCAGCAAGCAAAGTCAGTTCACTGCCCAAAAATCAGAGGCATGCCTCTGAGGTGCAAGTAGCACTGATGGAGTCCACCTTGTTCCTAGTAAATCTTTGTGTTCCTAGTAAATCTTCGTGTCTCTCCATTCCCCCTCACTTTGGTACACATGATTTTTTTAAAAAATCCTTTCATTTGATCCACAAAAAGTATCCTATCCCTAGACTACAAAATCTCCCCAGACTTCCAAATATCACTGAAGCACCCCAACACTCAGCAGATCAGACACGGGGACCTAGTGCTGACTGCCCATCACATCTGGATAAAAGACAGGATTGCACATTCTCTTTCTCAAGTCCCTCAACCAGCCTTAACCTGGTTATCAATTATGACTGGATCCATTCCTAACCATTTTAGAAACAATCTTCAAATGTTAGGCATGCTAAATATTGGCATTTATATTGCTTCATGTGATACAATACAATTGTATAACCAAGAAACCATAAAGGTCTGGTCTAGACAAACAGTTTATTGCATAATGCAAATGTTCCTGGATTTTATCACATCAAACAGTAATAGAGCCAACAATAGGAAAAATCCCAAACACAGAGCAAACTAACACATAAAGGAATCCGCTTCCTTCTTGACATTTAGTTTTCTATTATACAGGAATTTTTAAGGGACAGCATTAAAACATATAACCACCCACCTGCAGTCATAGCAGCACAGTAAACTAAATCAGCCCTTTTGTCAGATGCCTTCACTGGTTTTCCTAAATTAAATCATCAGCAGCAATAGACCTTACTAGATTTAAATAGTCAAACGTTTCTTTTAAAGTGTTTTAGCCTTCACCATCTTTGCAAAAACTTGAAAAACTGTGGATTTTACCCAAAGTAGAAAATAACTCTGCTCTATGACCACAAGAGGGCACTTCTGGGGGGGGAAAGGCATATACCTTTAGGCACATTACAAAACGTGAAGGCAGGAAATGCCTCTAGGTGCAAGAGAGACATGTACTTCAAGAAGCAAATGGGTGCCCAGAGCACAAGGGCCTGTTCCCAAGATGCACATAGAGAAGCTCTAAATAACAGTAAGAACAGTATTTGTATGAGTTATTAGCAAGGGGCAATCTCAAGTTTAAAAAAGAAAGCTTACAAAGCAAAATACTAATGTAAAGATTTAGCACCTAAGAACAAGAAATACAGAAGTTAGGATGTTTTAAAGATACAGAATGGAGGAGATATGTCCTTCAATTACGGCACCAGCCAAATGTCAGAATTAGTGACAAATCAGCATGGATTGCTGGATGACATGGCCTAATAAATTTTTCTAGGTATTTAGTAGTATTTTAATTTAAAATTTCTGCCTAATTTGCAAGACACATTTCGGTAATTTAAAAGGCAGCTCACTCTGATAAAACCACTGTGAATTAGGAAAATTGTATGATATATATAAGTCTGTCTACCAATTGTCTCTGACATTTTATCTAAGCCATTGTTTTTCAGGAAATATCAAAAGCTTACCCTCTACAAACAAAATAGTGGTACTAAGATCTTCTTCAAATATTTCTTCCCTGAGAGCGTTCTGAAAAACATCAGGATGATAGTCTTAAAAGCATGACTGTACAAAAAAAAAATCACAGTACAACATACAATAACAAATTATTGTACTCAGTGTCTATCCTTAATTAAATATATTTAAACCACTTGTGTCCTTAAGGTAGGGCTTCAAATGTCAATTACTATATACAGTTTATAAATATTCAAAAAGGGCTGTATACATTTGAAAGCACGTTACTACTAATAACATACTGGTATTTGTAATCAAAGAACTATTCTGAACAAAAATGAAATATTTTTTGTAATTCAAAGCAGCAAATCCTCTATCCATATATTAATCATTAGAGTATCTGTTTAAACACATATCCTACCAATCCGTCTCCATGAGGCACACAAGAGGGTTAATCTTGAAAACAGCATCACACAACTAAAATATGTACAGGGCAACATTAAAATACTGAATCAAGCAATCTACACCAGACTGAACAAGCAAAAAGAGCACAGCTATCTAATCCATCTTCCCCTCAAAAGTTCTCCTGAAAATAATAGTGCTCAATGTTCAGAAAAAGTGGAACAAGACAGCCTGATGGACTTCCATGTGGACAAATTCCACAAGCTGTGTGCCGCCAATGAAAGGGTGTTCCATAGAGGCAATGAACTTTTATGGGGGCGCAGTACAGCAGGGGGACAGGGGAAAAATGAAGTTCACAAGTCAGTTCATATGGGAGAATATGGTATTTTGGATTCTCCTTCCCAAAAAGCATATAACTTTGCAGGAACAACACAACCATTTAACTGCAACAATAATCAACCGGAAGCCAGTGTATAGGTCTGAGAATAAGCATTATAGGCAGAAAGTAGCAGCATACTGTCAATCTTCTCATAGCTCTCTGGGCCAGCTTCAGCTTCTGAACACTTTTCAAAGGCAGACCCATGAAGAGAGTGTTGCAACATCCTACTCTGGAATTTACCAAGGCACAAGTGATGCTGGCAATGTGAAATTCTTGAGAAGATAATGTAGCTAGTCTAACAAGCAGCTGATAAAAAGTTTTTCTGGCCATGGACACACCATCATCCAAGGGTCAAGTTGAATGAAGAAACATTTCCTAGCTACAAAACTACTTAAGGGTATATGACTTCACCCAGGACAAGAAAAACATCAGCTTCAGAATCAACTGACATCACCATCATCAATATCTCTGTCTTAGCTGGACTGAGTCTTTGATTAGTTACTGCTGTCTAACCCACCAACTGCCTCCAGGAATATGGAGAAAGAAATAGAGTTGGATCTCATTCTATCTTTATCATTAATGCCACCAACATTTAATCCCATACTATTTGAGTAATTCCGTCAATTATCCCTCTTCCCTTACCAATGTTTATATGTCTCTGTACATATTTTAATTCTGCTTTGTTTTAATGATGTATATTTGGGAGGTTGATATTAAGTTTTAAAATGTGCATTTATATGTTTTAAATTCTTAGTGTTGGTGGTCCTTGTGAGGGCAGAAAGGTGGGATATAAACTTTGTAAATAAATAAAATAATTCCCAGCTCCTGATAAACATCCAAGCTTCCTAAAGTAACTTCCAATTGCTATAACTGTGTTTGAAATATTGATGATGCCCATACAATTAAATCCAATCAGTGAGATATGTGCTAAGCACATGAGCCATTATTAGTTAAGCCCTCATGATACTGATATTACTGAGCCCACTATGATGTGAACTGCAAAGGTATGCAATGAAATTAAAGGCAAAGATGAACTATTCAGACTTCAATTACACGTCTCTCCTGTCTCTTACTTTGGATATACTGGAAACTAGTTAGAGTGATAACACAGTAAGAGCATATCCAGAAAAGTTGCATTTAAAACTCAGATTCTCATATGCTATTAAATAATCCTATGCATAACTCTGAAATTAGATATAAACTCACTGAGTTTGTACAGACATAATTCTACCAACACCTTAACAACAATTGGGATGTCACAGGATTACACTCTTCTAGAAACCATTTCTACACATTTCGCCTACCAGAGTTAACCTTTAAAAATCATTATATCAGTAGTAATATAAACTAGGATGTTGGTGGTTTATCAGATTTTTCCTTAACCCAGTGGGAGTATTCTCGTCCCATAAAACTATAATTTGGGAAGTGATGCTAAGTATTCTGCATATATACATATTTAGTTTTGTATCAAATAAATTTTAATCTATTAGTTTAATATCAGAGATTTTTACACATAAATCTAAATATCTGTCAAGGCCACTGAATTAAACATCAATGATCAAGAAACGCTATATTCTTACCAAAAGGCTCTTTATAACCCACTGTCAAGACAATGACATTTGGGAGTTAATTTCAGCACAGCTTTAGTTTTAGTCAACTCATATTCAATGTGAGAAATCCATTCTTGAATTCCTTAGATTAGGTACAAGGAGTTCTAAACAGATGGAATCTCCCACACAAATTTCATCTTTACAACAAACATTTTGCTTTATTTTAAAAACAAAATTGACAAAGGAAACTGATATGATAATAGACAAAGGACAAAAGTCAAGGAAAGAGTAAAGGTATCAGAAGAATACTAACAGCTCATATTTATGGTACTGTGTAGTCAACACCCACAATCCATACATACAATCCAGGTTTTGACTGAAAGTATCCTACTTGCAGAATACAACCAATTGTCAGCAAGCTGCCATTCTGTTTTCTGTGACCTCTGTGTACATATTCTTTCCCTGTTGCACCCGGCTTGGTTTCTATCATCCTACTCCTGCGTTGGAATGCAAAAGATAACTGCTGGAGGTTGTGTGGGGGAGAAGATGCTGTAATGCTTGGCTATTGCTTTTCCCATGACTACTGCACCTGTGTTATGTCTAATATCCTGCCTGGTTCCCATGGACTGGGCGCGCAACCGTTTCATTAGCCCGCCAGCGGGAAAGTTATTCATTGGACCTGTATCTCTTTGAAGTTCCTTTATTATGCTTGATCTAACTGTGTATCCCCAGTTCTAACAAAGAACGTGTTTGAGTATGTCGTCAACGCTTTGAAATAAATTTTGCTTTTCTTAAAACGTGGATTTATTCTCGATGCTTGGGGATCCAACATATTGTTAGAACTCTCTTTTTCCTATCGTTCCGAATCTGGCGAGATCATGAGCGGAATTGAGGGAAACCTACCTACCACGGAGGGGGACTCTGGATCGGTCCCACAAACCTCCGCGTCTTTGGTGTTCACGACTGCAGCCTCGTTGGAGGGTGCCGTGGGGGGAGCGATTCCCCGCCTGCCTGCACATCTGTCTTGGCCGCCTCCGACCCCTTCGCAATGGGGTCCGCGGAAGACTCACCAGCAGGATGATTGGACTATGTACAACACCCAGGGCACCCGTGAGGTGTACTCCCGTCGGGGGAGCGGATTACGTGAGAGTCTATTTGACAAGGGATTGTTCCCGGAGCCGGGGGCTACCTCGGAGAAGGGGAGCCCCGAGCGGGACCTCGAGGAGTGGATGTTCGAGCCGTCGGGACCGCGGGGCCACGCAGGAGATGAGGAGGGCACCGGAGTCTTCCCAACGGAAGAGGACTATGACCCACCCCCGGACTACCGCCCTCGGGACCCCATCCCGGAAGAAACCACCGGGGAACGACTAGCAGAACTGGAAGACTCGGTGAGAGACTTGTTGCGGGCATTCCAGGATGTGATGGAAGGTCTGCCGGGAATGATGGACGTTCGAATGGCTAATTTCCTTGACGCACACGCCGCGCAGCAACAAGTTGCTCCTGCACCGGGACTTCCCGCGCCGCCGATGCCTGCTCAACCGCTGACGGGACCACCGCTGCAAGCACCGGGAGTTCCAGCGCAGCAGGTACCTGTACAGCCGCCAGTGAGACCGCCTCTGCAAGTGCCTGTGCAACCGCCGATGCCGGGGGGTCCGCCGGTGCCGGGTCTGCCGCCACCACTGAGGCCAATGCCAGCGGGGCCACCGGTTGTGCCGGGTTTCCCTCCCAGGGGAGTTCCGGCTCAGCTGGGCCCGTTGGTAAGGCCTCCACGGCCCAGACCCAAGGATCTACTGGAGGCTACCTTCGACGGCAACCCAGATGAACTCGCTTTCTTCACGGTGAGGGTGCATAAATTCGTAGAAGAAAGTCGACACCTGTTCCGAAATGAAGCTGGTCTTATTGATGTCATCTCGGCAAGACTGAAAGGAGACGCCGCCACATGGTATGTTGGACTGCACAATGACCGCGGTCCGGAACTTTTGAATTTGCGAGCATTCATGTGGGCGCTGCGGGCGAGATTTGAAGATGTCAACGCGAGTCAAAGGGCTAAAGCGTTTCTCCGCACCTATCGCCAGAACAAGAAGTCGGTTCGCGAGTACACTCTGGAATTCCACAAGCAAGCCGCAAAGCTCCGAGACTACCCTGACCATATATTAGCTGAGATGTATCGCTTGGGTCTCAACGCAGATATCCGAGAAACGGTTCTGAAAACTGTCAACCCTGTCTCCCTAATGGCCTGGACCCAGGAAGCTGAAAATGCGGAAGACCGGCTCACCACCATCAAACTCGACCTGGCTGCTACGACCAACAGACCCGCCGCTGCCGGTGCCTCCAAACCCAAGCCTCAACGCCTGTCGGAATCAGCACGAGAACTACGTATGAAGATGGGGCTCTGTCTCAAGTGCGGGGAGAAGGGGCACTTCGCTGTGGATTGTGGCAGCCGTAAAGTACAGCCGCCTACTCCAAGCCCGAAGACACCGCTGACGGGGAAGAAGGGAATGGCTAAACCGCGTTTCTCCAAAGCTTTGCAGGCGGCCCAAGGCTCGGAGGGGAACGATCCGTCTGCTGCCGAGTCAGAAGAAGAGGTGGTGCCTGAAACGGCGGAAAACGACAACGGCCTGTTGTGAGAGGCGCAAAACGACAAGGCCATTCTAATGCTGCGCCCAAGGTGGTGAGAGAAACCCCTTCCCTATTTTTCGTGACTGTCTCATTAATGAATCCGCTCCTGGGAACCCACGTTAGGG